AGGTATTTCTTTTCTCTTTCTGTTAGTGTAGCTGGAGGCACGTTTCCTTTTTCTAAAAAGTAGGAGTACTTGCTCTGACACTCGTAGCTTTGACTAGTGAATTTGTGCTCTTTTATCTTTCTTCTTTTCCTTTTATATTTTTGATGACTCCGTGTGTTCTTCTTATGAATGTAGATGATATATGATATTTCCTGTTGTGAATAGTGGACTTCAGACGCATTTCAATATTCTTCGTCTTCGTTTGGAAATTTGAGTCTCCGTCTAAGAGATAGACTTTGACTCTTCATTTCGTTTGGTCAACTATGCAGACTTTTAACTCCTTCTAGGATGCTTCATCTTAGATTATTCATCTTCTGATGTTTTGAACTCCGTCTAGTTGACCATTAGGCTCCAACTTTGTCTTGTTCTTAACTTAGCCTTGTTTGATGCTTGCTTTGGCCTTTCATCTAATACTTCAAGACTTCGTTTGCTAGTATGCTTTGTCTTGTATATTTCTTTTGTCGATGTTTTAGTCTTGATGCTTGATCAGTTCGTCTGATGTTTCGTTCATCTCAACCAGATATGGTGTGTACTCCATTTTTCAGTCTGTTTTTATATTTATCTGAAACACTAACACACACGTTAGAAATAAAAAAATGCATCATATTTGTCTTATTCTTCCTAGTTCGTCAACTTCACTCTTTGACGCTAGTATTCTTAACCACTTATGGTTCCCCGAGTATTCTCAACCACTCCTGGTTTGTCAACTTCACTCGCTGATGTTAGTATTCTTGAACCACTTCTGGTTCTCCAAGTATTCTTTCAAATAGCCTCTTCAGGCTTTATAGTAGATGAATGGTTTGAGTGTGTGTATAACTCTCATAGAGAGGACAATATGGTTTCTACACTCGCTAAGGTATTCAACCTTAGTTTTACAAGGATATGTGTTTAGAGTGTGTATGTAACTCTTGTAGAGAGGATAGGGTAATTTCTACACCCATTAAGATAAGTTATCTTAGTTTTTCCACAAATATACAAGACTGTATAGGAAGAGATGTAAGATTGTTTTTATGTTCGTTTTTCTCGTTGCTTCACTTCTATCTACCTTCTCTTCTCAAATCTTGATATTTATAGCCTTATGATAAATCTGCCCATTGTTTGAATTTGAATGTGTACATTGAGGCGGAGCTTCCCGTTGGTGTAGATAGCAGTTTGTTCATGGCTATGTAGATCCTCCATTTAATGCATTTGATCTTGCATTAAATGTTTGCTTGCCAAATCTGAGTTACATGAAGTCCTTTGTGTAGTTTGTTTACTTTTATGTCTAACTTCAATCATAACCTAGGTATTTCTTTTCTCTTTCTGTTAGTGTAGCTGGAGGCACGTTTCCTTTTTCTAAAAAGTAGGAGTACTTGCTCTGACACTCGTAGCTTTGACTAGTGAATTTGTGCTCTTTTATCTTTCTTCTTTTCCTTTTATATTTTTGATGACTCCGTGTGTTCTTCTTATGAATGTAGATGATATATGATATTTCCTGTTGTGAATAGTGGACTTCAGACGCATTTCAATATTCTTCGTCTTCGTTTGGAAATTTGAGTCTCCGTCTAAGAGATAGACTTTGACTCTTCATTTCGTTTGGTCAACTATGCAGACTTTTAACTCCTTCTAGGATGCTTCATCTTAGATTATTCATCTTCTGATGTTTTGAACTCCGTCTAGTTGACCATTAGGCTCCAACTTTGTCTTGTTCTTAACTTAGCCTTGTTTGATGCTTGCTTTGGCCTTTCATCTAATACTTCAAGACTTCGTTTGCTAGTATGCTTTGTCTTGTATATTTCTTTTGTCGATGTTTTAGTCTTGATGCTTGATCAGTTCGTCTGATGTTTCGTTCATCTCAACCAGATATGGTGTGTACTCCATTTTTCAGTCTGTTTTTATATTTATCTGAAACACTAACACACACGTTAGAAATAAAAAAATGCATCATATTTGTCTTATTCTAAACCTTATTAGGAATTGCTTCGTCTAATTTCCTTGAATTTTAGAAATGATTTATCCAAACACAACATAAGATTATTCATCAAAACATCGCACCTAGGATAGTAACTAAAGGCATGCTTGCACTATGTTTTTATAGGAATTGCACTCAACCACTCATATGCCTTCTCATTCACTTTCTTAAGCTCATCCATTTTCTCATCCCATGCCTCAACATATCTAGCCTTGGCTGCTGCCATCATGATATCCCTAATTAATGTTCCTCCCCCAAACTTTTTCTTGAAGTTACAATACAAGTGTCTCAAACAATATCTATGTTCAGTTCTCTCTATGAGCTCTTCAAACACTGGGATCAAACCCTATAAAAAAAACAAGCATAGGTTTAAAGCATCACATTTCAATTATAACATTTAAATTAAATATGTATAATTGTAGTATACTTACTTTTTGTTGGTCAGAAATAAATACCCATCTATGGGTTGTGATGTCACCAATATCTTCTAAAAGAAATGTTAGAAACCACCTCCATGACTCCTTTGTCTCATTCTCTACCACTACAAAAGCAAGTGGGAAATATTGATCATTGGGATCTCGTCCCACCGCTATTAATAATTGCCCTCCAAATTTGGTCTTTAAATGACAACCATCAACACCAATGAATGGTCTGAAACCTTCCAAAAAAACCCTTTTTGCATCCATCTAAACACAAGTAAAAACTTCCAAATCTTGGTTGAAAGAAACCAGTTGGTTGTTCAAGCTGTTACAGGTATTCCCTACACACTCTTCTAAGTTCAACACTGTAAGACCAAAGTCGTGAATATTGGTTACTGAAATCACCTTCCATAATATCTTTCACTATTTTTCTTGCTTTCCAAGCCCTCAATTCTGTTATTCCAATACTGTATTGTTTCCTCGTGCCATCCATAATCTCATGGACAGTCAAGTTAAAGGCATTCCTAAATTTTTCAGTAAGTATCTTAGCAACCCATTGTGTCGTAGCATTCTTGTTATCAAAAACTCTTCCACAATTATGTTTCCCAATTAAAGTTTGCATCCTATATGTTTCTTTGTCACGTAGTTTGCTCACATACATAAGAAAATCACAATTTATAGTGCAAATTGCCCTTACTCTTCTTGAGTCATTCTTTACAAACTTTATTTGACATCCGTTCAAAACTGAATGCTCACGAGAAGCTTCCTTGAACTCTTTTAGTGATGTGAATTCCATTCCTAACTTAAATTTGAAGGACTTACACATGTCCTCTTTGTTGTACTTTGGAAACTTTGGCAATCGATCCATGTCACCTTCATTTAAATCATATTCCAAGTCAGACTCTAATTCTTCACTATTATACTCTTCACTAATGTTAGTTGTGTCAACCATATCTATTGACATATCAGTTTGAAAACTAGTAGCTCCTTCATTAAAGTTGGATTGCACTATACTTGGAGTCATATTCTGCATTGTTTTAATCTTAACATTTCTCCTGCATGGCAATTTTTCTGTACACTTACCTTTCACCTCCTCAATTGTATTTTTTAGAAGAAACTCAATTGCTACTAGTTCTTGCAATCCAAACCCATCATCAATTCCAAGATCTCTCTCTTCTTCACTATCATCAAAATGGACATTCTTAACTGACTCATCACTACTATCAATATCATCGATCCCATCCCCTTTATAAGGCCTTTTATCCCTCGCACCAATTTGAAGAACAACATCGCCAACATCTTCTCCCATTTTCTCAACATACACATCAACCTCGAACTTGTTATTTTCTACAAAACTTGCAAGTTTTGTAGCATCCTTGTCATTTTTAAACCATCTTTTAAAGTATCATTTTTTACCTTTCCACCACATTCTTATTTCCCCTTCATAACCTAAATCTCTTAATAGTCCTACAACTTCAAAATATGACCATTTATCAAGGTCTACATCATGTACCACATCTATTTGTCCCCCCTCAGAGCAGTCACGATTTAAATTTGCAAATTTTCCTTTGTGGTGGAAAGAAATGGAGAATATGGACCCTGTACAAAAAGCATAAAATAGAAATTTTTTTTATAAGGAATACATTTTAGAAAAAGTATTGTTGATTCACCACTGGGTAGCAAACATGGTAACAGAATTATCCTTCAACTGATAAAAAAATATGTAGAATCTAATTGTTACGTATGTTACACTATTAGAACTACATGTAGCAATTCATGTTGATTCTTTCAATTAACACAAAAAGAAAAGAAAGAATAAAATTGATCATCAATTTAACAAGAACGTGCAGGTCCTAACATAAATAAAAAAAAAAAGAAGAATAAAATTGATCATCAATTTAAATAGAAAGTGCAAGTCTGGACAACCTTTTCAAATAGTTCAAGGGAGATTTGTATTCTAATGGGTTATAATTAAATTAATTGAGCCACAATTTTAGGGATTATTGGACCAGCGAAGTCAATGTTGGTTTGATTTGAGAACAAGCACGAGCAAGCGGCAATAATACGAAACACGATAAAGGAAGAAGCTGACTCTATTAACAAGATAGAAAGAAAAAAAAAAGACGAACAAGCATTACGCAATTTGTCAAAAAAAGTAAAAAAGGGTTACTATAAAACTAGTTTTACCCTATCTGTAACACTTAACCTAAAATAATTAACAATATTTTAATTTTAATTAAAATATTTTCCATGTCAGATAAAATTAACAGTGACTAAGATGGTGATATGACCTACTCTTTACAAAAAAAATAAACAAAGTTTAACCTAGAACTTAAAAGAGGTATTTTACTAATTTGGAGGATTAACATCAAGAAATTTTTTTTAGAGGACTAAAAACAAATTAGATGAATTTTCGAAGGATTAAAAACATATTTAATCCTTCATTTTTTATACATGCTTAATGATGTATGCCGACACATCAAATAAAGTTGAACTAAGTTCAAGAAATCAATGCTTTTGTTATAAAATAAGCATAAAACCAATCCTGAGAGACAAGTTCAAAGGAGAAGAAATACAAAATGTAGTGTTACCTTCCATTTGTCATCTAAGCTTTTAAACCATTCCTGATCTTCTACATCTCTAATTGGCTCAATAAAAGCTTTTTTAATAGCAAATTTGAGCCATGAATCGCCAATACCAACAATATCTGTTGCCAAAGCAGATGCTGGGCCAATTCTACCTTTAGTAAAGGGAATTGATAGATTAGAAAAGATATTCTCAAGACTTGCATAATACTTCATGTTAAACTTCATCCTCCTCCCTTAGAATTTATGAAGTCCCAAAAGTGAAGAAAAATTTAACATGACAAACTATAAAATAAGTTACTGCAAATCTAAATTTATTTTTTTACTAACTATAAGTTGCTTGAAATAGCATGTAGATTCAAAGGAAGCTAGAGGACGAACTAGCACACCCTTTCAAAAGAACTGCTAATTGATGCTCGAAAAGAGTTTATAACATGACGCACTATAGGATTTTAGAGAACTTTTGAGCAAACAAAATCTGGATGGGGAAAAATATAGAAAGACCCTCCTAGAAACCCAGAAGGAGAGAAATAAAGAGCAACCAATAAAATAACAAGTTAATTAACCACATAAAGCAGGTTAAGGAATATGTGTCACAGACCTTGATCCATGAAGGAGGTATAGAGTTGCGTAGAGCAACAACTTTCAGAGGAACAGTCAAAGCAAATGTTTTAGATTTCCAGGTATTAAAAGCTTCTTCTAATTCCTTGTCTACAACAGTTTCTTTGTTGTCTTGTTTTCTTCCATCATGATCATCTGCGACCATTAAACCACAAATAACAACATCGGTGAAACCTTTTACAGAGTTTCTTTTATTTTGATAAAATATCACGAATATCATTCTGCAGCATAAACCTCACACACAAAGAAAAAGAATAATTATGTATGTATTGTTAGAAATTTTATTTCTAATAGTTATTGTGGGCTACATATATTATTTTTAGTATTTATATTAGTTATTTACATTTAGTTAGGCTCAATAAAAGTGATCTAATTTTAGTGAGCCTTTAGACTGCCAACAAGAAAAAACTGATATAGGCCCAAATAAGTGGAAACCAGATTTGGCCCGTTAGGGGTTAATGAGAACCCTAATAGGTTTAAAATCGTAAAGATGGTCATGGTCTCCAATATGCCAAATCAGAAACACATGTCTCTCTGTCTCCCCATCAGAAGAGTAACATCAAGTCCCATCAAGGAATCCAGTGATTTGGCTAAGGAAGATCATTGCACCAAAAGACTATTCCGCTGCAACCTTTTGATCAACGTCAATGGATACAGGTACGTGTTATTAACATTAACTTTATAATCTGAGACAACGGTTCTTAATTTTGATTAATGAAAAATTTATACTTGGCTTAAGAAATTTATTCCAACAAGTGGTATCAGAGCTGCCGTTGTTATTAGGTTATGGGGTTCTAAAGCGTATTGTTACAATTTTTTTTTCTTCATTGACAATACGTGTATTTGAATGCGTTGGTCATTTTTTTTGCTTCAATTTGGTTTAATTGATTATACGGATAAAGAGATAGATTAAAAATTGAATTTTTCTTAAGGAGAATTTTTTTTTGTATTGTGAAATTGTATAATTTTTTGTGAATGTTATATATTTATATATGTAACAATTTTGCAATGATCTGGAAGACATTGTCAAATGAAGAAATTTTTGAGTTTTTTAATTTTCTCACCAGAAATGAGATAATTGTGCAACAATGCAATAAAGGAATATTTTCTCACCAGAAGTGAGTTAATTGTGCAACAACGCAATAAAGGAATATTTTCTCACTAAAAATGAGTTAATTGTGTAACAATGAAATAAAAAAATATTTTTCTCACCGAAAGTGGGAAAATAATATGAAAAATTAAAAGGAAAAGGGTTGATAAAGACACAAACATAATATAATATTATGTTTGATCCTTTGACTTCCATCAGAAGTGGGATTTTTTTTTGTCAAAATCATTGTTGTAATATTAAATGATATTTGGAAAAATTATATGATCAATATATTAAATTCCACATTATCTAATTTTTTAATGGCATTCGCGCAAGAATTATTTTCTTGAAATTTGATTGATATTATGTTCAAATTTAAATTGATATATTTTTTTATATCAAATTTGATTGCGAATGTTGGCATATTATAAACCCTCTTTATTAATTGATTTGTATGGTAATTTTTTTAATTAAATAAATTGATGTAATGTAGTGCCAAAACAATTCCTATTATAGAAATTAATTTGATTAAAAATTACAATAGATGTTAGTATGAGATTATTTATGCAATTTGTGCTCATCCCAAAGGAAGACACAATTTGGCCAAATAATAACATGTCTGTGATGGTAAATATGTGACAATTATAAAGTTACAATCATGTGAATAATAGCCGGTCCAAAGAAAGACTATTATTTGACAAAATTAATTGATAATATTTGATCATTGCATTGAGAGTACCACTAACAAGTTAATTTGTATGTCCAAAGACAAAGAATTAATGTTGTGCTCGGTATCTTGTAATGGGTCTATTATGTAAATAATCTGCATGTTTTATTTATTTTATTTTACTTTGTGAGCATGTAATTAAATTAAAAAAAAATTATCTATGTTCTATTACAGTTGTTGTTGCTAGTGCTGTTAACTTATCTGCTCAAATTAATTGTATACACATGCTTAATAGGACAGACTTTAAGGCCTGGAAGGAAACAGTTGAGATAATTCTTGGCTGCATGGATCTTGATCTTGCACTTCAGGCTGAGAAACCCACTCCAACTCCGGAAAACCTGGATGAGGATAAGGTTGAAAAGTGGGAACGCTCAAATCGAATGTGTTTGATGATCATGAAGCGATTTGTTCCAGAAGTTTTCTAGGGCTCTATTTTTAAGAGCCAAAATGCTAAAGGTTTCCTTGATGCTGTTGAGCAGTATTTCACCAGTAATGAGAAAGTTGATGCAAGCAGTTTGCTTGCTAAACTCATCTCTATGAGATACAAAGGTAAAGGAAACATAAGGGAGTACATTATGGAAATGTATAATCTCGCGTCAAAAATAAAAGTACTAAAGTTAGAGCTGTCTGATGACTTGCTCGTGCATCTAGTTTTGATTTCCCTTCCTACACACTTTGGACAATTCAAGGTAAGTTATAATACTCAAAAAGATAAATGGACCTTGAATGAATTGATTTCTCACTATGTGTAAGAGGAGGAAAGGTAGCAAAAAGAAAAGACTGAAAGTGCTCATTTAGCGTCAAGCTCTCAGAATAGGAAGAGAAAGAATAATAAGGATGTTGTAGAAAGGACTTCTTAGCAAAAGAAAGTCAAAAAGGATGAGAACACACCTACTTACTTCTTCTGCAAGAAGCCTGGGCACATGAAGAAAGAGTGTCCCAAGTACGCCTCTTGGCATGTAAAGAAAGATAATTTTCTCTCTTATGTTTGTACTGAAGTTAATTTAGCTTTTGTACCACATGATACTTGGTGGGTAGATTCTGGTGCTACTACTTACATTACTGTATTCATGCAAAGTTACCTTTGGAGCCGACCGCCAAGTGATAATGAAAGATTTATCTATGTGGGTGATGGCAACAAGGTCACAGTGGAGGCTATTGGAACATTTAGATTACAGTTAAAAACTAGATTTCATTTGGATTTATTTGAGACTTTTGTTGTACCGTATTTTAGGCGGAATTTAATTTCTATTTCTAGTTTGGACAAATTTGGTTTTTCTTGTTCATTTGGAAATAATAAATTTAGCCTTTATCAAAATTTGAATGTTGTTGGTTCTGGTTCTTTAATTGATAATTTATACTTACTAGATGTAGTTAGTTCCAATAAAGAAAATTTTCACATTGATTCTCGTGGTATGAAGCGTAAAATAAATGAGAACTCAGCCACCTTATGACATAAACGTTTAGGCCATATCTCTAAACAGAGAATTCAGAGGCTTGTGTCAAATGAGATTCTTGAACCCTTTGACCTTTTAGACTTTGAGGTTTGCGTTGAATGTATTAAGGGTAAACAAAAAAATTCTAGAAAATTAGGTACCGAAAGGGCTAAGGACGTTTTGGAATTAATTCAGACAGATATTTGTGGAGCATTCCCTACGACATCTTGGAATGGGCAACAATATTTCTTTACGTTCATAGATGATTATTCTAGGTACGGCTACCTATTTTTAATTCATGAGAAGTCTCAATCCCTAGATGTTTTCAAATCTTTTAAAGCTGAAGTTGAGCTTCAACTTAGAAAGAAAATTAAGGCCGTCAAATCTAATCGTGGTGGTGAATATTACGATAGATATGATGGATCAGATGAACAACGTCCAGGGCCTTTAGCACTTTTCCTAAGGGAATGTGGCATCGTTCCTCAGTATACTATGCCTGGGAAACCAAGCATGAATTGTGTTGCAGAACGTAGAAATAGGACTCTTAAGGATATGGTGAGAAGTATGATTAGTCATTCTTCTTTACTAGAGTCATTGTGGGGAGAAGCACTTAAGACTACAGATTACATCCTAAATAGGGTAACAATTAAAGCAGTTAACAAAACTCCTTATGAGTTATGGACGGGTAAAAGGCCAAGTATAAAGCATTTACACATTTGGGGTTGTTCGGCTGAAGCGCGTCCTTATAGGCCACATGGAAGCAAACTGGAGTCAAGGATTGTTAGTTGCTATTTTGTTGGTTATCCTGAACACTCTTGGGGCTATAAATTTTACAATCCCACTACTAAATCATTCTTTGAGACGGGGAATGCGAGATTCCTTGAGGATGTTGAGTTTGGGAAGGAAGAGAACATAAGAAATGTTATCTTTGAGGAAGAACCTGTCATTGACAGTGATCAAGTCCTCGTGCCTATTACTATTCCAGTACCTACCCCAGTAATAGGTGACAATCATGGAGTTATTCCTAACATTGTCCCAAGACAAGACAATATTGAGGTTCTCCCTCAAATACCTATAGAGCAAGCTCAACAACCTCAAGAAGTGCCATTAAGGAGATCCACTAGAGAAAGGAAAAGAGCAATTTCAGATGATTACATTGTGTTTCTCCAAGAACATGAGGATGGCATTGGTTTAACAGATGATGATCCAATCAACTTATGTCAAGCTATGCGCAGTTCTAACTCTCAAAAGTGGATTGATGCCATGAAGGATGAGATGAAATCTATGCAAGACAACGATGTTTGGGATCTCGTTGAATTACCTGAAGGTGTGAAACCTATTGGTTGTAAATGGATATTTAAAACTAAGAGGGATTCAAAAGGTAGTAACGAGAGATATAAGGCTCGTTTAGTTTCTAAAGGTTTCACTCAAAAGGAAGGCATTGATTACAAAGAAACCTTTTTCTCCGGTTTCTTCAAAGGATTCTTTTAGAATAATAATGACACTCGTAACTCATTATGATTTAGAGCTCCATCAGATGGATGTTAAAACTGCGTTTCAAAATGATGACATTGAAGAAACGATTTATATGATGCAACCAGAAAATTTTGTGTTTGGTGACTCAAAGTCTATGGTATGCAAACTAAAGAAATCCGTGTATGGTCTCAAACAAGCTTCTCGTCAATGGTTTCACAAGTTCCATCAAGTTATTACCTCATATGGGTTTGAGGCAAATATAGTTGATGATTGTGTTTATCATAAGTTTAGTGGGAGTAAATATATATTCTTGGTGTTATATGTTGATGATATACTGCTTGCCAGCAGCGATATAGGCTTATTGCACGAAACCAAGAGATTTCTAACAAAGAGTTTTGAAATGAAAGATCTTGGTGAAACCTCTTTTGTATTAGGTATTAAGATACTAAGAGATCGTTCTCATGGTATCATAAGGTTATCACAAGAGAACTATATCGATAAAGTTTTAGATAGATTCGACATGAAAGATAGTAAACCAGGAGATACCCCTATAGCCAAGGGAGACAAATTTAGCCTCAAACAGTGCCCTAATAATGACCTTGAAAAAAATGAGATGCAAAAGATTCCCTATGCTTCAGCTATGGAAAGTCTAATGTATGCTTAAGTTTGTACTCGTCCCGATATTGCATTTAAAGTGGGAGTTTTGGGCAGATACTTAAGTAATCCTGGGATGCAGCATTGGAAGGCAGTAAAGCATGTAATCCGCTATTTGAAGAGAACAAAAGGATATATGCTCACTTATCAGAAGTCTGACAGTTTAGAGATCATTGGATACTCAGACTCTGGTTTTGCCAGATGTCAAGATAGTAAACGGTCCACATCTAGATATATCTTTATGTTGGCTGGAGGAGCTATCTCTTGGAAGTCTGTTAAATAGACTATTATAGCTTCTTCAACCATGGCTACGGAGTTCATTGCTTGTTTTGAGGCATCCAACCATGGGATATGGCTGGGAAATTTTATCACTAATTTACGTGTGGTTGATGATATTGAAAGACCATTGAAAATCTATTGTGATAATAACTCTGCAGTTCTTTATTCTAATAACAATAGGAGTACAACCCAGTCAAAATTCATTGATATAAAGTTTCTGGTTGTTAAGGAAAGAGTTCAGAATAAGCAAATTTCTATAGAACATATAGGGACTAATTTTATGCTAGCTGATCCACTTACTAAGGGTTTGGTGCCCAAAGTCTTTCATGAGCTCACTGCTCATATGGGTGTAATTCCTTATAGTACCTTAATTTAGTGGGAGTCTCATTTATGTTGTGTCTTCTTTATTTTTAATTTTTCCAGATATTTGTATTATTTGGATTTTCTACAAAAATAAAGTTGATAATTCTATTCTGAGCTTGTTTTGCGCAATATATATATATATGTTGCGTTTTGAATGGATCTCTATAAAGAATAAAGTTTGGACCAGTTGGAAACAGACATGACTAAGATCACGTTGCATGTAATTTCCATCCCACTTATCCATATTTGATCTATGTCATTGAGTGCATACAATTGTGGTGATCATTGTGATTTAGTCACATTAGATAATGTTGTTGTTGTATGAGATGGACCAAATTGTTTAAGGGGAGTCTAAAAGTAAATAACATACAGTTGCGCGCCTAAAGATTTTTGTGATATAAATACTTAAATGAATATAAAGCCTAAATGGGAGATTGTTAGAAAATTTATTTCTAATAATTATTGTGGGCTACATATATTATTTGTAGTATTTATATTAATTATTTACATTTATTTGGGCTCAATAAAAATGATCTAATTTTAGTGAGTCTTTAGACTGCTAACTAGAAAAAATTGATATGGGCCCAAATAAGTGGAAACCAGATCTGGCCCGTTACGGGTTAATGAGAACCCTAATAAGTTTAAAATCGTAAAAATGGTCATGGTCTCCAATATGCCAAATCAGAAACACACGTCTCTCTGTCTCCCCATCAGAAGAGTAATATTAAGTCCCATTAAGGAATCTAGTGATTTGGCTGAGGAAGATCATTGCACCAAAAGACTATTCCGCTGCAACCTTTTGATCAACGTCAATGGATACAAGTACGTATTATTAACATTAACTCTGTAATCTAAGACAACGGTTCTTAATTTTAATTAATGAAAAATTTCTATTTAACTTAAGAAATTATTCCAACATGTATATATACCTATAACCCAAGATAAGTGCTTATCATTATGACTTCTCAATACAAATGCCAAAGCAATCAAAACTCAAGACAAATGATAGGTAGTAAGCACTATTGGATTTTATTTTACTTTTATTAGGAAAAACTACAACGCACTATTGGATTTTAAAGCTTATATGATTATTATTATTTTTACAAAGTACTTTTAATTAAATTTATTAAAAAATGATAGATTAAAATTTGAATAATTGCATTAGTTTATTTATTAAATATGTTTTTAATTAAAAATCCTTAAAAGTAACATATATAATAATAATAACGATGTAATTTTTACTGAGTATTACACCACTCAATAACTTTATATTAAATGTGAATTTTATAAATCTAACTTTTAGATTGAAAGTTCGTTATCTTTAGATATATATACAAAATAGAGCTTTGTAATAATTCTTAAAAAAAATTATTAAAAAATCAATAAATAAATAAATAAAGAATTTGATGCGTTATACCTTTAAAAAAAATTTGTGGATGCAAAATAATTGTGTGATTCTTATTTCTTAATAAATCTCAATTAAGATTGTTAAAAAAAAATCTCAATTAAAAATAGAGTTAATCACTTATAAGTATAAATTTTTTTATACTAACAACTAATTATATCTCTTAATTGTATCATGTCACTATTAAAAATAAATATGTTTACAATGACATGATATAATTAAGACATATAATTAATTATTATTGTAAAATTTTTTTACTATGGGTGAGTAAGTCTTAAAAATATGTGAGAATGTATTGTGTGTGATGTGATTAAAGTTTCGGCGATCGTGAACCGTGATGGCAAAGCATGTTACTTAGCGTGGCAGCGGTCAAGCTCCCCCACCTTCCCCTCTTGTTTCGTTTGTTCCCCCTAAACTGTGGGCTCGGATCTTCAAAACCAGTTTCGCTTCTTTCTCATATAAATACCTCATCATCTTCTTCTTCTTCTTCTTCCTCCTCCTCTTCATCTTCAACCCCAAACCCACTTTCACTTTCACAACACAAAGCAATGGTGACGCTCCTAGTGGCAACCACGTCCGACCCTGCTTCCATCAACCCAGCCAACGCGCTGTTGGCCATGCCCGGCTGGCAAACCGGTCGCCATTTCCAGGTTCAAAGCATCAACCATTTCTGGGTTCTTATTACGCACCTTTTGCTCTTATGATTGTTACTTTTTCCTGTGTTGTGTCCACTAGGATGACATGAAGAGCTTTGTGAATGAAGAGGTGAGGGTGGTGCTGCATGGGAAGAGCATAGTAGCGGAGGATGACTTGGACAAGAGGTGGGAAGAGGTGACTGGGGAGGTTGTTCATGAGGTCATCTTCTTCAGCAAGCACACTGCTGCGTCCAACAAACCTGCCCTCACTGTTCACCCCATTGGTAATTTCTTCACTTGTCATTGCCCTTTTTTATTTTTATGAGCAAAAGGGTGTTTGTGTGTATAAGTTTTTCAACTTATTAGAAAAAAATCATTACTCTTGATTATAATTCACGTGGAGACTAGTTAAGAAGTGTGTGGTCTAGGACTGAAATAATTTTTGTGCAAGAGGGTGTTTCTATGCGTGCAAAAGGGTGTGTCTTGTAATGATTTGTGGGGTGGTGTGTGTATGTGCAGGAGTTCCTCATTTGCGTGAAGGTGATGTTCCACCGCAAGGTGGCAGACCTGGATGGGCAGCTCTGCCAAATCCTAGGATGGGGCCTTGGCTTCGACTTTTGAAAAACATTGCTCAGGCTCATAATCTGGTCCCTGAATTCGAGGTGTCTTTTGGACTACTTTTCTTTACTTGCCTATTGATGTTGTTTCTTGTGTGGTGTGTCTTTTGCTATCAACCAAATTGGCTTTTGTTTCTCTAGTTATATCTTGAGTTCTTTTGCTTTAGATTCAACGTTCCTGCAAATACATAGCTTGTTTCCTGTTGAAGGAAGAAGCCAAAATGTTAATTTGTTAAACTTTGAAAAGCAATTCTGGCAGAATTTGATCTGTTTGCTCAATTTAGATTACTTTGGAGGCAACTCACCATGGACCAGTGACAAACAAGCCAACCATGTTTTTGGAGATTGGTGAGTACTTTTTTCTTCTTCCTAGATATATTTTTGATTTATAAGCACATTGCACGGTGTATTAGTTAAGTATTGTGAGAATGGTGTTACACTGCTACATCTCTGCATCCTCCATTGTTTGGTTTCAGACGAAGTTATTCTTCATTTTGATGTTTAGTCTCCTTTTCCACTCACATTTATTTCTCCCTTTTAAAGGATTAGTTTGTTACTTTACTTGCAAAGAATGTTTCATCTTTTCTACGTTTTCCATGCAAAATGGAAATATTGTTTATCAGATAAATAAAATAGTTCCAAATTTAGTTTAGTCGCTAGCATCAGGAAAGTCCAGATTGGCAGAAGGTGTTGAAGAACATATTTTCAAAGTATTTTCAGTTTCTAGGGTTAATTTATACATTTTGGTGCTCAATGTTTTATTGATCTTTGTGGACTGTAAAGGAATTACCAACCTGTCCTTCGGCCCTTCCTCACTCAACCCCTCTCCCCCGACCTTATATTTCTCTCCCTACTAGCTACATAAGTTTTAGTTCTTAACTAATTGGGTTGTCATTGTTTTTCATCCAACCTTAACATTTTTGTCATGTCTGTTCAAAGCCTAAACATTCCTTTACGCATTCAGCCTTTGTTTGCCTTTTGTTAGTCCCATTAAGAAGGTTTATAGCAGGAAGAATGATAACAGAATATTAGTCATAAGGATTTATTAGTAGTATTACTTTTTACTGGGCAAAGAATTGTAATATAGAGAGTAGGAATAGATGAGGAAGTGATAGTTTGTAATTGTCTGGTAGTCTATAAATAAGAAGAAAGTTGGAATAAATAGGAAAAGGGAGAGTTAGTATGTAAGATTTGAATCATATTCAATGGGAGACTTCAGGACTCTTGAATACTGGGTTATATGCTCTGTTTTCAGTGATTTGTCTTGTCCATTTCAGTTTAAGAATCCATCTGCTACTGAACTACAAAGTACGTATTGATTTGAATAATTTTTCCATTTTCTTATTATTTGTAACCCAGTCCTATCAATTGGTATATGTGCTCCTAAAAATCCAGGGAGCCTTTTTGGTTCATGGCACCCACGAGACTGAAGGGATGACCAAAATCTTTGCAGAAAAGTGTTGAGTCATGGAGGTAGAAAGGGAGCTTCAAGAAGCCAGGCTCAAGAAGATCAAATACTTGTTTGAGAGCCTTAATCAAATGGTAGGTGTATTATGGGTAGAGCTTCCTCGATGGCATCAAAAAATGAGACTATTGGGAGCAACTCAATGGGGAGATTGTCAAATGAACATCAAGAGGAGTGTTGGATGGGGCTTGATATTCCCTTATTATTTGAGAATGATGCCTATGGGTGGGTGAGTAGATGGGAAGATATTTTCAAAATAAGAGGGGTAACTGAGGTGGAGAAATTACAAGTAACAATGGTGGCTATGGAAAGGAAAGCCTTGAGTTAGTTTCAATGGTGGAGTCTTCACACCAAATCCATATTTGGAGAGTTTTATAAATATTATCATTAGAAGGTTCTGAGTTCCAATCTTCAGTGATGCAAAATGCCTCGTGTCTTATAGGCTATCTTGTAAATGTCCTCTTTTCTCATCTGAATCTGTTGATAGCCAGATTTTAAGTCCAACTTGAAAAATACTGTTGTAGCCCCTAATTTATCCAACAAGTCATCAATCACTATTATAGGGAATTTGTCAGGTATAGTGAACATGTTTAATGCCCTATAATCTATACAAAATCTCTAACCTCCAAATAAACCCTAAACCAAAATTACAAGGCTGGAAGTGCTTGGTTTGATTATTCCCTCTTGCATCATTTTCTTCACAATCTTGTCAATTTCATTTTTTGGCAGTAAGGATTCTTGTATGACTGAATGTTGGGAATTTGTGCCCTTTTTTTAGGTTGATAGCATGATCATGCTTTCTCTGTGGGGTTAGTCCACTTGGTTCCTAAAAAACCACAGGGAATGGTTCTAAATCAGTCCTAATTTCTGCTGCCATAGTAACCTCCTTCATCCTACAGGGCCTTGATCATGGTCTTCTAGGAAGCTTGGTTATTGCATAGAGAAGGATCTTCCCTTAACATCAACTTGTTGTCTCCCTTTCTCTACTTGATGATCAAGTTTCTGAAATTAGCTTCAATGCCCCCCAAGCTGACTAGCCAATCCATACCTAAAACCACTTCTGTGTCTCCGAATTCCATCATGAAGAAATTTGTTCTTACTCCACCCCTTGCACTACCATCTTCACTTTCTTGCAGACCCCTTTATTTCTTACTTTCTAACCTGTCTCCACTTCAACAATGTACTCTGAGATACCCTCCACAGGAAGGTTTAGCTCCTTTACTAACTTACTGAATAAGAAATTATTGTTTCCCTAGAGTCTACTAATATTAGTACGAGTTTTTGATCAATCTTCCCCCAAACTTTAAAGGATTGATTAGAAATTGACCCTTCTTTACTTCTTAATGACAATTGGAGAGTTTTAGCCTCTAATTCCAACTTTTCCTTTTTTTGTTGGAACTCAGTTTCCTCCACTTTCTCTCTATTCCATGAGTACCTACCAACTGGTACTGCTTAAATCTGCATACATGTGCTGGCCCCCGTTTATCCCCACATTTTAAAACAGAGGCCCTTCCTACTAGTGTTATAAGAACCGGATTAGTCATCAACTCGGTCGAGATACTGGGTTGGCGGATTATTGGTTGAATCAGTGAATCACTAATTGAACCACAGGAACTGGTATATATAACATAATTGATCTGCATGAACCAGTATATATAACAAAATTCCCAGTCAGATGGGTCCAATCAGCCGGATTTGATAACAGTGCTTCCTACTCATCTCTTAAAGTTCAACTTGTATGAGCCTCTTTCCTGCCCCCAAAATTCTTCTCCCCCTTGGTTGCATTTGATTGCTTTGCCTCTGTTGGGCCTTGATTACTGTAATTGGGCCTGGGCCCAAATGGCTTGGTTTTTCCTGCATCTAAAACTGTGGCCACAGTAGTTTTGGTTTTTGAGATCGTTGTATCATCCCTCCAATCCATCTTCTCCTTATGCATAGTACTTTTTTTTTGAAGAGCCAAATTGTTCAACAACATTGACCTATCCATGCACCTCCCCGCTACTACTGCCTAATAGGCAGTTAGTTATATTTCTCTCTATTGAAAGACAAGAGATAGGAGAATGAATTCTGATATTATTGATTATCTATGAATCTGTCAAAAATACCTAACTGAGAAATATTAATTATCTATTTATATTGATTGGAAGAGTGTTGAAGAAGCAACCTCGAGGAGCTTGGTTGTAACTGTCAGTTACAAAAAAGTAACAGAATTACAAATGAAATGAAAAGCAAATGAATTAACAGAGGAAAATATGTAAAAAACTAATAACAGAGAAATGATATTCTCTTACACTCTCCATCCTAAACCTGATTAGTTGCATCGCACTCATACTATAATTAGGAGCATTGTTCCTCTTATGCCTTCTCTCATAAACCTTAATTATTTTGGGCCTTGGATTTGGCTTTGCATCATACTGAGATTGTATGTTCTAACATGAATCCATCTGCTACTGAGCTACAAAGTGGGGATTTGATTTGAATAGGTTTTTTATTTCCTTATTATTTCTCATCCAGTTCTATCACCTTCATCCTTGGTTTTTCATCTGTGTTAGCAATGATTAACTTTTTCCTCGTTGATATAATTTCCCTTTGCACATAAATGAACCACACCTTTACCTATATTTTAAAGTAGTTTGTAGCTCCCAATCTTCATTCTTAAGTTATGCTAGAAGCTGCTAGCAGTTAGAAAAAAAAATGAACTTAAATACAACAACTGGTTTTCTATTCTGGTATAGGTAGCACTGAAGATTATTGGAAGAGACAGGATGCGGCTCAAGTAATGGCAAAGGTTGGGTGGACTTTTATATTTTTTTCCATTACATTTCCATTAATATCTGGAATTTCCCTGTGTGGTGATTACATTCCTTTACAAAATTAATCCTGAATATAAAACAGCCCTCTGTCCATCTATACCAAAATAAATGCTTTCGATGGAAGCTGGTTAGTGATATTTTTTGTTTACCAAAATGAAATTTTGTTTGGGTTATTGCAGTTAGTTTGGGAAGGACTTGGACTTGGAGGTGGGACAGATGTAGGAAACTGGAGCAGGTAAACTGATAAAGCTAAGTTAAACATATGAAGTGACGTTAGTTTGGTTTGCATACTCATTTTGTATTTGGTATATACCTCCTAATATTTTCACATCTTGCTTTCATTCTGTTTCATAAGATGCAATATATGTTTAATCTATGGTCCTTTGATTTTACAATTCTGGACTTGGTGGACTATATATCTTCATGAAACTTTAAAATTGTTCGTGTTATTGTAAAATTTTGGACTAGAAATATTTGGTTTGTTTTCTTTCGGTCATTAAAGCTTCCTTATACAAATGGTGAAATTTTTGTAATCTGAATCTGATTCTCACGCTCTTACAGGGAGAAGGATAACAAGAAAATCCTTCTTGGGATAGGTGGTGGACATTATGTACCTCGGCATATGGATGTAGTATTGTAAGTAGTCAACCAGTCATTGTCAGTGAGACATGTCTTTATAATTGAATTTTCTGATGTCAAAGAAAGACTAGAACTATGAAGCTATTGTTAATGTCATTAATTTTTAGGTAACTTTGGAAACCCCTTCTTACTTTACTCTGCGATTTGCTTGAAAGATTTGGACTGTGTATTTTCCTTTTAAGGTTTCAACTATTGGAATTTACTCTCATTATCCATTTACTTAATCAGCTGATGTGTCATAGTATGTTCTTCACAAAAATCTTGAAATTGTTCGTTTTCAAATTCTCCCCCATGATCACTTCGCATAGATGCAATTGATATTCCTTTTTCATTTTGAACCCTTTTACAGAATACATGGAATTCACTTCTATCTACCTTCTCTTCTCAAATCTTGATATTTATAGCCTTATGATAAATCTGCCCATTGTTTGAATTTGAATGTGTACATTGAGGCGGAGCTTCCCGTTGGTGTAGATAGCAGTTTGTTCATGGCTATGTAGATCCTCCATTTAATGCATTTGATCTTGCATTAAATGTTTGCTTGCCAAATCTGAGTTACATGAAGTCCTTTGTGTAGTTTGTTTACTTTTATGTCTAACTTCAATCATAACCTAGGTATTTCTTTTCTCTTTCTGTTAGTGTAGCTGGAGGCACGTTTCCTTTTTCTAAAAAGTAGGAGTACTTGCTCTGACACTCGTAGCTTTGACTAGTGAATTTGTGCTCTTTTATCTTTCTTCTTTTCCTTTTATATTTTTGATGACTCCGTGTGTTCTTCTTATGAATGTAGATGATATATGATATTTCCTGTTGTGAATAGTGGACTTCAGACGCATTTCAATATTCTTCGTCTTCGTTTGGAAATTTGAGTCTCCGTCTAAGAGATAGACTTTGACTCTTCATTTCGTTTGGTCAACTATGCAGACTTTTAACTCCTTCTAGGATGCTTCATCTTAGATTATTCATCTTCTGATGTTTTGAACTCCGTCTAGTTGACCATTAGGCTCCAACTTTGTCTTGTTCTTAACTTAGCCTTGTTTGATGCTTGCTTTGGCCTTTCATCTAATACTTCAAGACTTCGTTTGCTAGTATGCTTTGTCTTGTATATTTCTTTTGTCGATGTTTTAGTCTTGATGCTTGATCAGTTCGTCTGATGTTTCGTTCATCTCAACCAGATATGGTGTGTACTCCATTTTTCAGTCTGTTTTTATATTTATCTGAAACACTAACACACACGTTAGAAATAAAAAAATGCATCATATTTGTCTTATTCTAAACCTTATTAGGAATTGCTTCGTCTAATTTAACAATCTTCCCCTTTTTGATGATGACAAATATAATCTATCAAATTGTTTAAGATATAATATAACACATACATATCAGTCAGTTCATCAAGTTCATGCTGTGAATTTCATACATATCAAGCATTTAACGATTTAGGATTATAAGGCTCTCCCCCTTAGTATATGCTCTCCCCCTCACTTGATTATCCCTTAAATAGGTTTGATAGATTCTTGCCTATTTCTCCCCCTTTGTAATTATCAAAAAGAAATAGTATACAAAAATAATAGTTTATTGTTCACCTATCAGATCCATTCCTAATCTATCTCTCAGCCAGATGTATCTGTCTTCTTGAAGGGGCTTGGTAAATATATTTTCTAGTTGTTCTTCTATTATAACATATACTAGATCGAAGGTTCCTTTTTTGCACATAATCTCTAATGAAATGATGTTTAATCTCTATGTGTTTAGTCCTAGAATGCAAAATATGATTTTTAGAAATGTTAATTACAGCAGTGTTATCACAAAGTACAAGAATACTACTTTCATAAATGTCATTGTCTTCCAGCTGGTGTTTGATCCAAAGCAATTGCGTGAGGCGGCGACATACTCAGCTTCACAAGTTGATAAGGAAATCATGCTTTGCCTTTTGCTAGTCCATGAAACTAACCAGCGTCCGAGAAAATGATATCCTCCGCTAGTATTTTTTCTTTCCCATTTGTCCCCTGCGTAATCTGCATCACAATATCCTAATAGGGAAAAATCCTGGCTTCTATAGAAGTTGATTCCTAGGTTAGTTGTTCCTTTAAGATATGTTAAAATACGTTTAACAGCTTGTAAATGTACCTCCTTAGGTCTTACTTGAAATCTGGCGCAGACGTAGACGTTGAACATAATGTCAGGTCTGGATGCCGTTAGATACAAGAGTGAGCCTACCGTTCCTTGGTACGTTGTGCTATCTACGTCTGGTGAATCTTCGTCCAGACCAAGAGTAGAAGATGGATGCATTGGAATCTTCATTGGTTTTGCATCTTCCATCTTATACTTTTTCAACAGTTTTTTGGTATATTTTGTTTGATGAATTTTGATTCCTTCGTCTGACTAGACGATTTGAAGTCCTAGAAAGAACTTCAATTCTCCCATCATGCTTATTTCAAATTCATCCTGCATAAGCTTTCAAAATTCTTGGCAAAGATTTTCATTAGTAGCACCAAATATTATGTCATCTACATAGATTTGGACGATTATGAAATCATCTTTTAGTTCTTTTCTAAACAAGGTACTGTCAATTTTTCCTCTTATAAAATTGTTGCTTATTAGAAAAAATCTTAATTTATCGTACCACGCTTGTGGTGTCTGTTTCAGTCCATTCAAGGCTTTGTTTAGTTTGAAAAACATGGGATGAAAGCAAATCATTTTCAAAACCAGGGGGTTGGCTTATGTAAACTTCTTCTGAAATTGTTCCATTTAAAAATGTGCTTTTAACGTCTATTTCATATAGTTTCATACTAGTACATGCAACAAAAGCAAGTAGTATTCTAATAGCTTTAATTCTAGCAACAGGTGCAAAAGTTTCAGTAAAGTCTATACCTTTCTATTGTGAGTACCCTTTTGCAACTAACCTTGCTTTGTTCCTTACCACATTTCCTGACTCATCCAATTTGTTTCTATACACCCATTTTGTACCAATAATCGTTCTATCCATCGATGCTTGAACGAGTTTCCAGACGTCATTTTTCTAGAATTGGGTGAGTTCTTCTTGCATGGCTTGAACCTAGCTATCGTCTGATAAGGCTTCGTCCGTGGTTTTTTGGCTCAACTTGGGATAACAATGCAATTTCTGCTTGTGTTTTGAATGAACTTCTAGTCCTTACTGCATTTTTTGCCTCACCGATGATCTGCTCTTGTGGATGATGAGCCTTCATCTGCCTGTTTTGATTGACAGGTTTTGTCTACTCTCTTTCGTCCTATTGACTTTTAATTTCTTCAGACTCAGGCTTCTTCAACAGATTTTTGTTCACTTGCATATTCTCAAAGAAATTTCCCAGCTCTGATATTTCTTTATCAGGCTTATTTTTATCAAATTTAACGTGAATGGCTTCCTCAAGAGTTTTGGTTCTGTTGTTGAAGAATCTGTACGCTCTTGACCTTTTAGAGTATCCTAGTAGAATACCTTCGTTGGTCTTGGAATCAAATTTGCCTAAGTTATCTTTGGTGTTTAGGATGAAGCATTTGCATCTGAATGGATGAAAATACGTAATGTTGGGTGCTCGTCCCTTCCACAATTCATAGGGAGTTTTCTTCAAGATAGGTCTAATATTTATTCTATTTTGTATGTAGCAAGTAGTATTAACTACTTCTGCCCAAAAGTGTTTGGGAGTTGAAAAATCATTTAATAAAGTTTGCCATTTCTTGTAAAGATCGATTCTTTCTTTCTACAACTCCATTTTGCTGTGGAGTTCTAGGTGTTGAAAAATTATGTTTAATGTCATTTTCTTCACAAAAATCTTGAAATTGTTCGTTTTCAAATTCTCCCCCATGATCACTTCGCATAGATGCAATTGATATTCCTTTTTCATTTTGAACCCTTTTACAGAATACATGGAATACCTTGAAGTCCTTGTGGGTGATGAACAACACCCATGACCATCTATTGTAGTCATCAACAATAACTAGTCCATATCTTTGACCACTGACAGATGCAGTCTTGGTGGGACCGAATAGATCTATGTGGAGAAGCTCAAGAGGTCTTGAGGTGGAAACATGATTCTTACTTTCAAATGAACTTTTAAATTATAAGGAAAAATATTCTGAAAAATATCCTAGAAGATTCTATTAGGAAGATTTTTTCTCTAATTACAATAGTATTATTAAAATTGATAAGTAAAATGAAGCATTTTGTCCCTCATCAACTTTTTAATTGTTATGTTGTCCATAAAATTCCATTGTCAAATTTAATGGCACTATGATAAAAGGTTATAAATTTAAATAGATTATGGAAGTATATTGCACTGCTACTCGGGTTATACTGCACAGGTAGTGAAATTAAAGGTGGCTTGTTTAAAGTTATCCTCTACTTTTTTATATCAAGTACAAAGTCATGTTTTATGATGCATCTTGACTTTGTGTGAATAATTTTAGGGACCCTGAGGCCCAAGGCCCATTTTTGGAAATGACCCACGGCCCATTTTTAAAAAGTATTCTAGAAGGAAGTGTAGGGACTTTGGCACTGAGGGTGGGTTTTAGTAAGCTTTAAATAGGGTTGTATGGTGTGTAGAGAGGGTGTGAATTATCACTGTAATAACTGGAAACAGTCAAGAGAAGAGAGATTTCCCTCGGCAGAGGAAAACACTCTGAATTCTGTTCATTTGGTTTTTTTTTATATTTTCTTGTTCCGTTTGTTTCTTTTTATTATCAAGAATCTATCAAATAGACTTCTACTAAATCCTTTTGAGAAGATATTTACATAAAATTTTATGACCATGAAAATGCTTTATAAACCTTGCCAGCCACCTTAAATTTCTTCACTGTAATTAAATAGCCTTTATTTTGGAGGCACTGTAAATTTAAGTAGTTTTCTCAAACTTGATACTGTATCAGTTACCTGAGGGTGACTTTGGAATTAAAATGCTAAATGTGTGCATTATATTTTCTTGTGGATATGGATTTTACTCAAATGAATTATCGATATACTTACTCTGCTCTTCCAATCCAGGAAAGATAATGTATGGGTGGGTCACCTACTTTCTGGATATTCAGTGCCGATGGAAGATCCAAGCCAGTCAAAAGGAGAAACAAATGCGGAGATTGGTGGAACATGGAGACATTCTATAAAAGCTGCATATGAGGCCACTAAATCTGCTTTTCCTGGTGGTGAAATTCTTGCACATCTTGACCACAAGTGAGCTTAATGAGCTTTATCCTTATGCAATCAACAATCTGTATATATTGCTAATGCTAATGCCAAAGCAAGAACTGAATGCTGTGTTAAAAAGTATTCTAGAAGGAAGATGTCATTTACATTCCCCATCACCTCTTTAGCTGACTTACTGGGTTTGCTTGTTAGTAGTTAGCTTTAACACTTTGATGCAAATACATATCAACTGCAAAATTTCGAAATCCAAAATGAGTCTAGAATGAGGTTTTTTGCACAAGGGGGAAAAAGAAGAAAGAACAAAACACTATTTTCCCAAGATTGTGTATCATGTTAAAAGTAATCATGTATCTTTGCTGTGTATGCTTCTGACTGTTATCATATGGACCTTGCTTTTGTAGCTAACTGCATATGACAAGTGTCTGAATGCTAGAAAGCAACCTTCTTATGATTACTTTCATCATTTCCAGTGTGTCACTTGTTTATCTTAAGGTTTTTAATATGAAGGAAGAAGGTATGTTATGGGCATATGTTGAAAATTAAGAAATCTACGTATGATGTCTTGTAGAACAAAATTTTCAACCTGTTGTATTGTGACAGACTGATTTAAGCTGTGTTGATCCTTGCTTTGACATCACAGATAGATAGACCTTTTACTCAACTAAACGTTTACCCAAAGCTTGTTTTTCATTGAAGGAGTTTCAAGGGCTGGCAGAAGAATGCCATAACAGGATTCCTTGCGGAGCAGAACATTCAAATTGGAAAACCGAATAACTTCTATTGAGTGTTGACACTTTGGCGGATATTATTGTGAACACGGCTTCTGCATAGACAGGCTGAAGATTTTGGTAGACCTTACAATCAATTTAATTCAGTTCTCAATATTATTCATATGTAAAGATTGCCTTGTGCATGTATTAAATCAAATATGCATGTAAGAACCTACGTTTAATAAATGAAGACGAAATAGATTATAGAACAGAGTTCATTTACATTACGTTTACATTGATTGGCTGATTTCTCATTATGATATATAGACTGTTGTATAGCTTTTAATTTCTGTATGGAAAGTATTCTCTACCGTGCACCAGCAAATTAAATGGTTCACCATGCACCTAATAAAAATAACACCCTACTAGCAGCTACAATAGTGCCACAATAAAAGTTATTTTAATTAAATTTATATTTAAAATATAAATTAGTAAATGAATTGCCAACAAATAGATATTATTTTAATAAGTTAACAGATTTTTATTTCAAAACTATAAAATAATAATATATTGCTATAGTGAATAAATATTTTTGTTAATAGGTTAATTAAATTTTATTTAAATCTCTAAATAAATAAATCATGATAACAAATAAATATTATCTTAATAGGTTTATTAAAATTTATTTTTAAATTATAAAATAATACATGGTATTAGTCATAGTAGTTAGAAGCTCATCACAAGCAAACCAATTGGTAATGGAGGTGGAGGATCGTCTTTTATTCATACGGGGAGCAAGAAGTATGGTTGTCTTGGTCACGAGAAACCAAACTGCTAGGATAAAATGTGACTTGCTTCAACAGGATGATGTAAGGACACACCAAAAGGGATCATCCTAATCTTGCTGTTAGTTTTTGCTGTTAGTTTTATCAGAGTGGAGCTATTCAACCAAAGAATATCAGGTAGTTTTTGCTTTTAGTGGTATTGAAGTGACTGTTATCAAAATCGGATCGATTATTAACTCTGTCAGATCATTAGATTAGTAGGTATATTCTTTTAACACTCGATAGATTATTTCAATCAAAAAATTTCTAACAATCTTTTACTTGGACTTCATATTCTTTTAAGCATTTATTTTATAAAACTTTGTAGGTACACATCCGTATGTTATTTATCTTTAGTCTCTTCTTAAAAAAATCTGGTTCATTTCATACAACAATAATGAACCATTACAGCTTTCATCATAACTCAATATGATTAAACCATAACGATCACCACAATTGTATATATTTAATGACATAGACAAAAAATGAATAAGTGGTATAGAAATTACATGCAATGTGATCTTAATAATGTCTATTTCTAACTAGTACAAATTTTATTTTTTATAGAGATCAATCCAAATGCAACATAAATATTGCACACAAAACAAGTTTAGAATTGAATAATAAACATTAACTTTATTTTTGCAGAAAATCCAATCAATACAAAATGTATGAAAAAGAACAAAACATAGAACATAATTAGAAATCCCACTAAACTAAGATACTATGAGAAACTATACCCATATGAGCAGTGTGCTCATGAAAAAATCTAGGCCCTAAACCCTTAGTAAGTGGATCTACTACCATAAAGTCAATCCCAATATGTTCTATGGAAATTTGTTTGTTCTAAACTTTCCTTAATAACTAAAAACTTGATATCAATGAATTTTGACTTGGTTATACTCTTATTATTATTGGAATAAAGAATTGTTGAGTTATAGTCACGATAAATTTTTAATGGCCTTTCAATGCCATCAACCATACATAAATTAGTGACAAATTTTTTGCAGTTATATTCCATGGTTGCATGCTTCAAAACAAGCAATGAACTCTACAACCATGGTTGAAGAAACTATAATAATTTGTTTAACAAACTTCCAAGAGATAGCTACTCCAACCAACATAAATATGTATCCAGACACAGAGTGTTAGCTATCTTAACATCCAACAAAATTAGAGTCTGAGTACCCAATGATCTCAAAACTATTAGACTTCTTCAATTGTTCACCATTCTTGAATTTTATTAAAATTGTAAGATCATGATTGCGTTTTATGTTTTGATGGAATTCATAGATCTAGATTTAGATCTACGTTCTTGATTAAGTTCGTGTTGAATTAGGTTGATTGAGAATTCAGATTTATTGTTGAACTATGAAAATTTTTTCGTATGGATTGAAACCTTGAATCGATATTTCTCCGATTGAATTTTCAAATCTTAATTCTGTATTTTGTTGATTAAATATTGTTGAAATATTAAAATCCCCTTGTTAATTATGTGATAAAATATAAATTAAAAGTGTTTGTGTTTTCGTGAAGAATGACTTAGATTGTTCCCTATATTACAAATCTAGTTTACTTTTGATAGTGACTCGGCAACACTATCACATCCCACATTTCTTTGGTTATAAAGTAGCTACAAAACTTGTCGTACTCAATTCAGGATAACAAGCATGCAATGAGATAGCGCACCTTGGTGTTGTTCTGTAGGATGTTGTAATCTTCATAAATATATTGATCCTTAGGCTTAGTGACAGCAACATCACCTTGTGTTATAATCTTGCATAATGGATATTGGGTGGACTTAATGTACATTTCCATTCGATTCTCCCGGTATGGGTAGTCTTCTCCATTAAAGGTTGGGGGTCTTGTAAGAGAAGCTCTTTTTGGTAGATATTATCCTTCATTACTTCCCATCTGAATCTTTTTCCTTTAGCATGTTTAGATGCTCAACCCCATTAAAGACTGAGCTCTGATATCAAACTGTGGAGAAAAGATAGACACTAAAAAGGGGCCGGGGTTGAATAATATATATCACAAAATCGCACATTTGCAAGTCATTGAAGTAGTATATGCGATAGAAGAAGCATTAGCAAGAGTGATTAATGAACACAAGCAATTTTTATACTAGTTTACCCCAACTAGTGAGGCTACATCTAGTTCTCAATCCAACTAGATTGAGTTCCAATAACTTTTAACAAAGTTACAAGTATTTTTTCATCAAGCCACTTCTGGCTTAACACAAGTGCTTTTTAACTAGCCTCTTCAAGTTACTACCCTAGTGTTCTTTTTACAAATAAGCCTCTCTAGGCTCAACCCCAATTATTCTTTTACAAAAAAGCCTCTATAGGCTCTACCATATAACAATGGTTATAAAGGTATTACAAGGTTGTTGTTATTGTCCTCTTTAGACATGATTACAACAAAAGTTTAACTGCAAGAGATCTTTTGAAGGAGATTTTCTATGCATGTGGTTTTGTTTTGAGTTGTATGTGTTCGCTATCTTTTTCTATTCTTTTGAGTTCTAGAGCTTCTTATATAGTAACTTCGAAAGAGATGACTGTTGTAGCTTCTTAAGCTTGATTCATAGAACTGTTTCGTCTTACTCTTTTCATCTGATCTAAAGAGAAAGAAAGTATCCAATGGTGCATTAAATGCTTTAATTAATGTCTTTCACCAAAACATACTCATTATCTTTGATAGATCAGGCTACTTATCAGAGTAGAGCAGTAAAGTGGGAATAGTAGGAAACAAAGTTAGTGTACATCAAGGATGCAATGCTTTTAGTGCTTCTTTTTTCATGAGATTCAGGATCTTTGTCCTTTGTTATGATACTCTACACACCTTTATACACCTTTAACAAAATGTGAGTTCCAAGACAACGACTTTCGATTTATTAAGGTATAAAGCATTTATTTGAAAATTCAAACATGTTTGTCACACAATAAATAATGGATATTAAGAACATGACAGACAATTGTATCCTTCGTATGATTTACTTCATCTTACAGACGCCACTTTATCTTACAAAGTTTGAAATAACGACTTTTTGAAAACGCTTTCTTGTCAAAAGACGTAGTGTTATCATTAAAACTTAAAAAAAATGAGATATCTAAGATCGTCTTTTGACTTAACAATATTTTTATTTTCAATTGATCCATATTTCTTTCTTTCTTTATATTCTCTCATTTGAGGATTTGTGTTCTTGTATATTAGAAGAGTATTAAATTTATGTTATAAGAGTTAGAAGTATGTGTGTGATCTAGCAAGAAACAATTGTATGACAATTGGTTATGTATCAAATTTGATTGTTATTGTTTGTGTTATTAAAATAAAAAAGTAAATGAATTTATTATTTGATGACTATATAAATTCCAAAAATAAAATAAAATAAAATTGACAAAAACAATTAGATAGAATTAAAATACATTAACATTATCAAAAAAATGAAGAAAAAAAAGCGATGAAATGTAACAAAATTTTCAAATATTAAAAACTCGTCCATAATATAATTTATGAACAATTGAAGAAAAGTTTAAATATTTTTTTTTATCTAAATTAACATCAAATATAATGAATATTTCTTTTTAATTATAGTGAATATATAAAGACACTAAAAATTATTATCTTTTTAAATTATCTTTAGATTTTTTTTTTACAGTTTTATCTTTAAACCTTTCAAAGATTAGTTTTTTAAAATTTAATTAAATAATATTATTTTTTAACTACATAAATAATAATGTTTAAGATTAGACCAATTGAATGATATTCATATTTCATATTTCTTTAAAAATTATATAATATAATATTAATAAAGAGAAAAACTCAAACATAAATATTTTATTAATCCGAAAACATAACACTTCAAGAGGTTTACACTCATCTTAAAAGAATACATATTATTTAATTTAATTAACATATTTTTGCACAAATATGCTTTTGATTTAGAAAGAAGAGTAAAAAATAATTATATGATTATTTTTTTATACTTTTTTAATTAATAGTAATATTATTATTATTATAAAAATGTCAAATTAAATATGGTTTTTTAAAGCTTACATATTTACTATAATTTTCAAAAAATAATTTAAATTAAAATCATTAAAAAAAAAAGTATACTCTAAAACTTGAATAATTGTAGTAATTTATTTATTGAATATACTTTTAATTAAAAATCCTTAAAAAAGTATACACCATATAAAATGACTAAATTAGAACGAAGTACATTTTAAATGAAGGTAATAATTTTTAACTTAATTAAAATCAATCCCTTTAAAAGTTAGTCTAAGATTTTTTAATTTACTCTATATATATAATAGTATCAAAATAAAAATATATTTAGCAAAAATATAACACAATAATAAAGTGTATTATATGTATTATAGTGGTATATTTTTTTATATATATATATATAATTTTTTTTATTTGTATACTTTTTTTTTACTTAAGTATATTTTTAATCTCTTAAATTTAGGGTAAGTTTATTTATAGTCTCTCAAACTTAAAATTAGACTTTTTTAGTTCTTGTATTTTTTTTTTAAAATCTTGTTTTAATCAATTTACTCAAACTTTGCTAGAAAATCTGTAAATATCATCACATAAAATTTATCTATTTATGTTTTTATTAGTGAAAATATTATATTAAACTTGATGCAAATTATCTTAATCTATTACTTTCAAATATGTTATTAGTTATTTGAAGAACTAAAACAAGATTTTTTAAAATTGTATAAACTATATACAATAATTTTAAATTTAAGAGACTAAAAATAAATTTAGGCTTAATTGTGTTTTTGATCCCTCAAGTATTGTAATTGTGCAATTTTGATCCTCAAGGTTTTAATTGAGTAATTTTAGTTCTTAAAAGATTGTAATTGTGTGATTTTAGTCTCTTAATTTTTAATTGAACAGTTTTAGCCCCTCAATTATTATAATTGTGCGATTTTACTCTTTCTCATTAAAAATTTAATAATTTTAAAATTATGATATTTGAGAGACTAAAATTGTTCAATTAAAAATTGAATGACTAAAATTGTACAATTACAATTTTTTAAGAACTAAAATTACTCAATTAAAATTTTAAAAATCAAAATTGTACCATTACAATAATTGAGGGATCAAAATTGCAATTAAGCCTTTTTTTTCTTTTATTATTTCCCATCTTCCCCCATTTCCTTTCTACCTTTTTTCAGATATTTATCAAATTATTAGTTTATCTATAAATATACTAATAATATTATTGATATTAAGTTATCAGTAATATTATAAAAATAATAATAATATATAAATTTTATTTATATATTAAAAATAAATATATATCATTTGATACATTGAAGAAAATTATAATATGCGTTAACTTGAATAGACAAATAATTGTACAATTTTAAAATATTGTATATATATATATATATTTAAATTATTAAATTTTTAATGAGAGACTAAAATCGCACAATTATAATATTTGAGGGACTAAAATTGTTCAATTAAAAATTGAAGGACCAAAATCGCATAATTGCAATCCTTTAGAGACTAAAATTACCCAATTAAAATTTTGGGGATCAAAATTACACATTTGCAATTAGGGATGACAAATATACCCGTACCGTGGATAATAGTCGAACTCGTCCCGACTTTGATGTAGAATGGTTTGACCAGGTACAAGTATGGGTAAAACCCGATATATTAAATCGGGTACAGGTACAAGTATGTATTTACCCGCCCTGTACTCGTACCCGTCCCCGTTCCCATTATTAATTTAATACCTACTTTCGATTTAATTATGTTAAAGAATTTTAATATTTTATTATGTGTAATTATTTATTATAAATATGAGATAAAGAAATAACTCAATTATAATTATAATATAATAGAAAAATAATTTAAAAATATTGTAATTTTTTTACAAAAAATAAAAAATAAAAAAATTGACAAGTACGGGTACAGGTATACCTGATAGGGACGAGAATGAGAATAAAAATTATATAACCGACAGGAACGAGTACGAGGATGAATTTGACTCAAAAGGACGGGAACGGATATTATGAAACTCATACACGACCCACCTCATTGCCATCCCTAATTACAATACTTGAGGGATCAAAAACACAATTAAGCTAAAAAATTACTTTAAATTTAAAAAACTAAAAATATATTTAAACCTTATTTTTATCTCTCCCCTTTAACAAAGATAATTATCAAGTTGTTACATTTCAATTTTTATATTTATTTAAAATTTTTGAAACAATGAAAGGAGATTCTTTACTAGTTATTTGAACATAAAAATTTTCAATTGTTAATATTAAATTTATATAATTGCATCATCTTTTAAAATCATATAAAATATTAAAAAAATATTTTATTATATTCAAATTAATTAAATCTATGTACATTGCATGAGTAAACCGATTAATTAAACGCAAACCGGGGACAAGGCATTCATTATTATATACATAGTTTCCATTTCACCATTTTATCCTAGAAATTATTTATCGGACAAGTCTTGTGAACAGAAACAAAGGAGGAAAATTGAGATCATAAGATCAAAATACAACCAATTCTACTCCCGCCTACCACTTAGCTGATGCCAAGCATATTTACAGCAAATCTTCCTACCCTCTCAACTACAGCATCATCCAAATCTCATAAACCAGATGTATATTAATATAACAACCTACAAAACCTACATTTTTCATTCTATAGTCCCGCTATCGTACCCAAGTATTGCTAAACTTCAAAACTGGCATGAAGTACCAAGCCTCTGTCTCTGCCTCTGACCTAAGGTTATGGATTTCCTTTTGGAAAATGCTGGATACAGCAGTTCTTGAAACTTCTCCAGAAACATTGTCCATTCATCCTCAGTCATATCTGCCAGCTTCACAAAGCTTGTGCTAGCAGGAAGCTGCTCATTGGCACTCCTATGACCAGATGATGTATTCCCAAAATAACCACTATCTGCTTTTCCTCCTGAATATTTCTGGTGTCTCTGGCTTGTCTCACATAACATAGTACTTTTCAGTGACACAGAAAGTTTTGAAACCGTTGGGATTGTTTCCTGCCTGGGAAAAGTGACAAAATCCCAAGGATAATCTCCATCACTTTCCTCTTCTCCCTCTTCAATGCTCTCATCCAATTTAGAAAGTGGAGTGCGACCATACCCACTTTCATGTCCCAGTTGAAAAGGTGCTCTGGTTAGAGAATCATCCATAGCCATCTTTGAAAAGTAATCTGACCCGACTTCATCACAGTCTATGTCAAACTGAAATTCATCATCTCTCAAATCAACCCTGGGAAATGGCTCTCCCCTCTCCACCAACAACTTCCTCACCTCCAAGCAAACAACCTCCAGTTCACTGGGTTCCTCCTCACCACTGCGGAACTCCCTAGTCATCATCTCACCAATTTCAGCAAGACACAGACCATAAGCAGCAGCCTCCTTGAGGAAAATCGTGCAGAGTACCAAGACTCTCAAACAAGCCTCTCGGATCATGGGCAATTCCATTCTTAACATTTCACAATCTCGAGCAGGATCCAGATTTTCAATGTATGAGAGCTCATCCTCAGAGAATGGAATTGAAGCCTGAGGCCAATGAATCCACTCGAAATACGGGTCCTCCAAAGCTTCTGGCAGGCAAAGCCCATGATCAATAGGAACTAAATCCACCTGACCAAAAGCCCCAAGTTTTCTAACTAACAAATTACCAGCGTGCCTATCCGTGTTAAGAATCCTGATGTCTAATATCCCTATACGATGCACGGCACTAACAGGGAAGCTAGATGTCCCATGGTCACTCGCATCAAAGTCATGATGTATGAACTGCTGGAATGATGCAATCTTGCTAACTAACTTCTTCTTTCGGGTATTCTTCCCATTGACTCCATCATTGACATTGAAGATTGAGTGAGTAATCTTCACCAAAGCAGTTGGAGGCACATTTGCAAAATGATCATAGTCAAGGAGGTACGCTGCAACTTCCCGGAACCCTGTCTCCCCTACCCGAACTGATCGTTTCAAACCAGGCTGTCCAAGAGTTTTACCAACAAAACCTTTTGGGTTGTTAGGGGCAAAAGGCTCCTCATCAGTTGGTTTCACAATTGCAACACTCTCACCTCTGCTGTTCAGGAAATAGTATGCACCTCCAAGGCCACTATGAACAGGAATTGGATCGACACCCTGCTTCATGGCCTCCACAATATCCTTGACCATATGTTTCATTCTATCAAGACGATTTGATTGCCCTAATATCTCAATAGGACCACTTTTGTCCCTTTGCTGCATATCCCGTCCAGTGGGTGATAGGCATGGAGTGGATGAGCTTCTGTGCATAAGATTCCGTGTGAGAAGAAGGGGAGAGTCATTCCGAACAGCACTAAGGTCATTCTTCAAGACAATATCCCCAAAAGTTAGTGAGCTCTCTTCAGTTGGTACATTAAGGGCAATCTGCAACCTCCTCTTCACAGTATGCACATTGTCACTACGATCCAATTCCATGCCCAGGACACACCCAGATTCAGTTTGCACAAAAACACGTCTCCTACCAGTAGGTTGCCTCCCATCCATGCTCTTGTTCTCATGGTACTCCCTGCCAAGCGGGCTCCTGAATAAGGTCACAGCCATCTGGGTTTGAACAGGACTGTCCAAATTATGAGACATGAACTTCGGGGTGTGATTAGATGACTTTTGCAGGGGAACCAGGGGTTGCAGTGGAAGAAAGCTTCTTACCTCCCCAAAGGATTGCCAAATCCAGTGCTAGTGGCAATTGAGACCAATGTCTTGTTCCCCAATGATCATTAATCACATGGTAAGAATCCAATGTTACTAAAGCTCCCAGAGTGAAGGACTATGCCAAGAATGGGGACAGATTCTAGCTGACTACTACATTGAGGCCATCATGCGAAGATGGTAGAACAAAACTCTGCAGAGATTCCATCAAAATTCACAACACATCACAAATCACAGCAAGAAAGATAAACTAATGTAAGAAATAAACAAAATATTCTAGTAGACAAAACGGATCATGTTCAATTAATTTGTAGTAAAAAAACTAAACACTCAACCAATAACAGCAAGAAACAAATTACATAACTTGCAGCCCCATGCAATCACAACAAAGTAATTTCTTTATATCAGTAGGAAAGAAATAACAGCAACAAGGCTCGTACCTAATACCTCAACTCCTACTACTAGCTCAATCCTAATGGTTCTTCTCAAAAACGAAGTAATGAAGAGGCAATTTCACGCCATTTAGAAAACTAAGGGTATTGGTGCACTGTGCACTCTTCTGAATTAAAATCCAATTCACACAAACAAAATCCCAAGCATTATGACAAAACCACGAACAACAATTAACAAATTGAGAACAACAACAACAACAATAACATATAAACAAACAGAATAACAAGCATTTAAGGCCTCGCAACGTAAGAAAACACAAAATCCGGAAAGAATGCTTTTTCATACAATTCAATAGCCGTGTTCGGGTGCTAACCGAAAACGTAAAGAAACCGAAAGAATCTTAAAGAAACGAAAACGAAAAACATAGTTAGAAAGAGCTGAAAAAGAAGAAGGATTGAAGGGAAATGAAAATACCCCATGATTATGGAACCAAATTCAACGGCGTCATTGCCTCCAAGAAACACGAGAGGCACAAAATTTTCATGGGGGAGTGAGCTTCCGCAATGTTGAGAGAATCGAAGGAGGAATCGGGAAAGTTAAGGAAAGAACATGTTAAGACAATAAGTGCTGAAGAGGGAGTCGTCCGAGTTGACTCAGATGCCTGATTCGTTTCCGAGCGACTATGAAACCCTCTGCTCCTCTGTTGTTTCCTCAGCATCGGATCAGAATGTTCTTTAACCCAACGCGTGAAGCCTGCCTGGTTAGAAAACTAACCCTGGTTAGAACGCTGACCAAGGAAGAGTCTGGAAAATGGACGGGGACCGTGAGATCTTTGCGGTGTCAGCGGAGGGATGACTGCCACGTGGAGTCAAGGGATTGGAAAGTTACGTACATCTAATGTCAGCGAATGAATTGGGAGTTTTTGGGATGCGATCCTCTGAAATTTGAGATATCAAAATTATGGTAACTTAACACATCTCAATCGTTGGATTTGTAATAATAGATCAGATTGTGACACGTGTACAAAATATATTTTAACTTAAATGTACATGTGTCACAATCTGATCTATTATTACAAATCCAATGGTCTAAATGTGTAAAGTTACCCTATTTTTCCCCCTCCAAAATCAGGAGATCTATTTCCGAGTTTTTCTTCCCCGTCCAAGTAAATATAGCCGGACATAACAAGTAAGAAGGAAACGGAAATAATAAAAAAGGCTGCTTCAGAAAGTGAAAATTAAATTATGATTTAAATATCTTTCTAATATGTTAAATTTTAGGTAAATTTATTTTTTATTTATTAAATTTAAAATTATTTTTTTTAATTCTTGAAATTTTAAAAAATATTATTTTAGCTCTCACTCTCAAATTTTGTTAAAAAAATCTATCAAATAGTATTGTATAAAATATATTTATTTATATCTCTATTGATATATTTATTAATAATTTTTTTTCTGACAATTTTTTTTAATTGATATCTCTATTAATGAAAACATTACATTAAACTTAGATAATTTTATATAATTGTCTCAATCTGTCACTTTCAGATGTATTCTTGGTAATTTGAGAGATTAAAACAAGATTTTTAAAAATTATAAAGATTAAAAATAATAATTTTAAATTTGAGAGATTAAAAATAAATTTATCCTAAATTTGAAAAACTAAAAATATATTTAAATATTATATTATTATTAGAATTCATTATAGAATAATTGGTTATGATTATAATAAATTATAATTATAATTAAATTTTGTTATGATAACTTTGTTAAAAAGTAATTTTAAGATATTTAAGTTTATTTGGATATAATAAAAAATAATAATTTTTATATAGTAAATCAATTTTAAAAAGAAAGTTATTTAAAATAATTGTAAAGTTTAAATTTTTAGCTTCAGTAAAAGAAACAGATATCTAAAAATTGAAGTTGTTGATGCAAAAATACAACTTATTTTGTATACAGTTTTTTCTTCTTGGAAAATAACTAAAAGTGGGAAAACTAAATTTTCCTAAACTTGTTCTAAAAATAAAAATAAATAAACAATAGGATAATCACTAGTGCAAAATATAGAATTTACGTCAGGATTTTCTCATCGAACATAAAAATATCCAACATAAAAAAGACACGGTGACAATTTTGAAAATAAGTTAAACTTTTTTACGTCGAACTACATAGAGGTCCGACGTAAAATTGAAAATCTACGTCGAACAATAGTTATAGCCGACGTGGATTTCAAATTTTACGTCGGACCCCTATGTAGTCCGACGTAAAAAAACTTTTTATTTCCTCTGGGCGCCTTGTCTTAATCGCGTGCGAGGTTATTACATCTGAGTTTTGGGCGTTTCTTCTGATAGCGATTTCCGGCAAAGGGTTCCTGGAGTACGTGTGGGTGTTTTGAGTGACGGCGATTTCTGACGAAGGACTTCTCGTTATCTGTAGATGATTCCGGGGATTTCTGACCGATTGGATTCCAGCGAAGAACTTGAACGATTTGAGGTTAGTATTGGCTTGCTTCCATTTTGAGTTTTCTTTGAATATAATGGACGCACGAGTTTATGTTTCTACATCTGAAATTCTATATTTTTGTTCAAAGTAATATACTTGAAAATTATCTGAAATTGATTTGGTTAAAGTTGTGGTACGGGGGTAAGTTGGGAATGTTGAGTGATGGTGCATGAGGGATGGTGAATTTTAAAATTTAAATTTAAATATGTTCCTAATTTTCATAAATTTAATATATAATTTAAATATGTTTTTATATAATACACTTCGTTGATTGCCTTGTAATTTTTGCTGAGAAGAGGAATGTGTGCTAGTATAGTGATATATGAAGAATGATTTATTAAAGCACAATTAGTAAGTATATACTAGTTCAAATTGAAACAAGAGTTCTTCCTATTTCTATTTTAAATTTGTTTAATATTTGTAAATATTTAATTTAATTTTGATCTTTATATTTTGATAATTTATTTTTTTAATTTTACTCATGAATTTGATTATTCTAGAAACAATATTATTATTTTTAATTTTGAAATACAATTTTTAATATTTGCTTACAGATTTTGGCAAGATAAATATTGTAATTACCCTCCCTCTGTATATGTTTTTTTAGGGCTGTTTAGGGTTTAGGGTTTAAGGTTTAGGATTTAGTTGAGTTATGAATAACTGAGTCAATAGTTTGTCTTAATAAATTAACTTACTTTATTATTTTTAAAAGTATTATGTGCATGATATACATGAAATTATAACCTACATAGTTATGGATTGATGTTGGATGAATGCACGTCGCATTAGTGAAGAGTACAAAAATGGAGTTGAAGAGTTCTTGCAATTTGCTAGAGAAAATGCAAAACCTATCAAAGGAGCATATTATTGTCCATGTGTTCATTGTCTGAATCAGATACGTTAGGTAGTTGGGGAAATATGTGATCACCTATTTATCTTTGGTATTGTGAAGAGTTATACAATATGAACATGACACGAAGAAATTTTAGACATTCCAACTATGTCAACAACAAAATTTTTTGAAGGGATGAATGATAATCTAGAGGACATGATACATGATGTTGGTGAAGAAAATTTTGGAAAAACACATGTGTATGATAGCTTGAAGTCTAATTTAGAGCAACCATTGTACCCAAGATGCAATAACTTTACAAGATTATTAGCCACTTTAAGATTGTTTAGTTTAAAAGCAAGAAATGGATGGGCTGATAAAAGTTTCACAGAATTGTTGGAGTTGTTGAAGGAGATGCTTCTAGAAGATAACACGATACCTAATCGTAACTATGAGGCGAAGAAGATACTATGTCCCATGGGTTTGGAGTATAAGAAGATACACGCATGCCTTAATGATTGTGTATTGTACACAAATGATTTTGCTACATTGAAGGTGTGTTTGACATGTGGGTTGTCGCGGTTCAAAAAGAAAGCTAATGGAAGTAGTGGTGAGGAAGAAATAGAGGGTCCCCCTGTTAAGGTGTTATGGTACTTGCCAATAATACCTAGGTTTAAAATATAGTTTACCATTAAAGAGGATGCAAAAAACTCACATGGCATGCAAATGGTAGAATATGTGACAAACTTCTTCGACATCCAACTAATTCTCGCAATGGAAGAGGATTGATGAAACATTTCTAGAATTTGGTGCAGAGTCAAGAAACTTGTGAATTGGACTAGCTACAGATGGCATGAATCCTTATGGGAACTTAAGTAGTATACATAGTTCATGGTCAGTTTTGTTGGTCATTTACAATTTGCCTCATTGGTTATGCATGAAGAGAAAGTATATTATGTTGTCTATGATGATTTCAAGACCCCAACAACCAAGAAATGACATAGATGTGTATCTTAGTCCATTGATTGATGACTTGAAATTGTCATGGGAAACAGGAGTGGAGGTCTTTGATGCATACCGTGAAGAAAAATTTACTTTGCGTGCAATGTTATTTTGCACTATAAATGATTTTTCAGCATATGGTAACTTGAGCAGTTATAGTGTGAAGGGTCATTATGCATGCCCTATATATGAAGAAAACACAAGTTATACCCAATTGAAACATGGGCAAAAGATTGCATACACTAGGCATCGCAATTTTCTAGTTTGTAGTCATCCATACTGTCCATCGAAGAAAGCATTCAATGGATGTCAGGAGGATGAAGTTGCATCGACACCACGCAATGGTGAACAAGTATATGAGTAGGTGAGAAATATTAACATTGTGTTTGGAAAGACACAAAAGAAGTCAACTGAGAAAAATATATGGAAGAAACGGTCAATATTATTTAATCTTCCTTATTGGTGCATTGCTAAACATAAAAGGAAAGACAAAAGATGGAGTGAAAGCACGACTATAACAACCTGATTTTCACAGATTGTACGAGGGCCCAAAGCCCAATAGGGGTGATTTAGTATCTCAGAACGGGCCATTCCAAAATACTAAAAGTGCCTACATATCTTAGTTGGGAACGGGGCGTTCCAAATTACCAAAAAGGCTTGTAACCCTAGTTGGGAACGGGCCGTTTTGGTTTAAGAATGAGTTGTTCCAAATATGGACGTTATGGGTTAAATGCAACCCCAGAACGGGCCGTTCTGGTTTGAGAACGGGCCGTTCTGGATGTGAAATTTTACACATGATGAAGAGTCCAAAATGGGTCATTCCGGATTTGAAACGGGTCGTTCTGGCCACTCTTGATGCCTATAAATAGAGCACTCTAGTACTCTCAAAAAGCACACCTTTCAATTTTGACTTCTTTCAGTTCTGTCTTCTTTTCCTTCTACATTCTCTGAACAACGAAGGGAACCCAGAGGAGGAGACCAACTAGATCTTGCTCTAGTTTCAGCTACTGCTTATCGAGGTACGAGGGAATAAGTTCTACCTAGAAATGAGAGTTCATTTATAACTGTCACAACCCAAAAAAATTTCGATCTTGCGACTTATGGTTTAGACATCCTTTTAAAGATCTCATCAATTAAGGAATGCCCAGACACCAAACTAATCCTTAATTAATGGTTTTGAAAATAGGTTCTTGGAGTCGCCACCAATGTTTTACTCAAAACATTGGAAAAAGAAAAGGTTTTTAAAAATACAATAATAGCCTTGATAACCAGAATTGGGTTCGGGGGTCGGTTACGTGCAGGGAAGGTATTAAGCACCCCTACAGTGCCCTCAATCGGTACCCTGTGATGAAGTTAATATGATAAAAAATAATAAATTAAATATTAAATCCCCTT